TTCTACATGACCTTATTCTACATCCCTAATCCTACCCAATACCTAAACTTAACAACTACCGTACTAACTAAGCAGCAAATTAGGAATTTATTGAGGGAAAATTCGTAGTTAATAGTGAATAAGTGTTCCCTATTCTAAAGTGTTTTCATATTTAACATTCTAAAATGACAAAATGTACTGCAGAGCATTTTACATCCAGTAGAAGGTGATATGGTGTAAAATAATGACCAGTGTTGGGCAAGTTACTTCCAAAATGTAATACATACTGTATATTACTAGTTACTGTCTTTTGAAAGTAATTAGTTACATTACAATATTACTGTCTCTGAATTGTAATGTGTTACACTACTTTTGAGTTACTTTCAACAAAATATCCACATGAGTATTACAAAATGCCAAAATGTAGTTTATTGCTGCTCATTCTACATACAGTGGAGGGTAATGTGATAGGTCTATATGGCATAAAATTATAAAATCATATTTAGATACCGGTATGTAGGTCTACATTAATGTTACGTTGTAGTTTAAGGTTAAAAAAATATAAGCACAAATCGCATTATTACATTCATAAGTAGCACTGGTAAATAAAGCGAAATATTATCATGTACAAACAATAAAGACAATACCTAGCCTATAGGCTATTTTGAATGGTTTCAGAAGAAAACAAGAATGAAAAATATAAGTTGCTAAACAAGCCAAAATGAATTAGGCTGGCTAATTCAATGTGAAACTGAAAGCAAATGGCGTTCTCGCGCAGCCTACCTCTCTCATTCGGCATTAATCCAATTAAATGTGTCCATATTTGCGATGTATTTGAATGCTAAACTATTGTTTATTATGTAAACCAGGCTTATAACGCACTTAAAAACATCCTCGTCACATGAGAAAATGTGTCTTTGGCCCGAGCTCAGGCTGAACGGCACCGATTGTAGCTACTACGCAGTACGCACTATTTAAATTAACCAGTGTATCTATGAAAATCTGGTTTGGTTGACTATTTTATTCTGATAATGAACAGGCTGCAACGTTCGCAATGCTGTATGTGTGTGCGTGAGGCGCCAGCGCGATCGAACAAACAACAAAAAAATACTCCGTCATTTTTGGTCATACAGATCATTCGAAACTGCAGTGTGTTTACTTTTATTTCTATCATCTCGGTTTCCTTTCCGTGGACTTTTGTAGAGCGCTGCGCCACACAAATTGAACCAACCTCAGCAGCATATCTCTCAGTCTTTTCCTTTCGTTTTGTTAATCTGTTAATTGGGTAAATTCACCACTGAGTTATGAGTTAAAATGTTGTTGTAACTTGCGTTACTGAAATTGTAACGAGTAATAATATTACCCATTAGTAATGAGTAATGCGCTATATTACTGCGTTACAGCAAAAAGTAATATATTACCATCAGGGGCGTAGATTACGTGGGGGACGTGTCCCCCCCACATTTAATATCACGTAAATTCGTCCCCCGCACTTTTTCGGGCAAGTGTGTTCGCATAGAGGTTTTCAAGCCGGTGTGAATAAATATAGATTTAAATTCAAAGAGACAGGATATTCTGTGCATGATCTGATGTCTTATTCAGACCCAGAATAGCGCTAAACACTCCGTGCAGTGTATGTTTCATTCATACTCGAAGACGGAGGGCGCTCTCGCGCAGAAAGTCTTACGAGGAAATTCCTAATATGGACAAAAGTGTCCAGCTATCTCTGTATGAAAACAGTTGTTTTCACAGAAAACAGAAACGTTTGGAAACATGAAGACATTAAACATACGATTGTGACAATATATGGTTTATTTGTGTTTGTCAGGTCATCTCCAGGTAATAAATAAAGTATATGAACAATGCAGTGCTAGTTGACATAGCATTTATTACAGTATTGAAACTATTCTGCCTTGTTATGTGATAAAAAAAGTGTTTGTAGTATATAAACAAATCATTATTATTGGTTATTGTCCAGCAGTTATCTGATTTCTAAGTCAATTAAAAGCTAGAAATTAGAGAACAATTAAAGTTGCCTATACACTACCAGTCAAAAGTTTTTGAACAGTAAGATTTTAAATTTTGTTTTAAAGAAGTCTCTTCTGTTCACCAAACCAGCATTTATTTGATCCAAAGTACAGCAAAACAGTAAAATTTTGAAATATTTTTACTAGGCTATTTAAAATAACTATTTTTATAACTATAAATTTATATTTTAAAATGTAATTTATTGTGATTTCAAAGCTAAATCTTTAGCATCATTACTCCAGTCACACGATCCTTCAGAAATCATTCTGATATTCTGATTTTCTGCTCAAAAAACATGTATTATTATTATGATGTTAAAAAGAGCTGAGTATAATTTTTTCAGGTTTCTTTGATGAATAGAAAGTTCAGAAGAACAGCATTTATCTGAAATAGAAATTTTTTGTAACATTATAAATGTCTTTATAATCACTTTTGATCAATTTAAAGCATCCTTGCTGAATAAAAGTGTTCATTTATATAAT